ATAGTTTCTATTTCCAATAAAACTTTAAGCTCCATTTAAAAAACTCAGCTTTTGAACTGATTTATAAAGTAAATTTAATTTTTTTAAGTCATGTGAATATAATGCATTCAAGCTATTTTAATTTGGACCAATGCTCTAATGGTATGAAAATATGAATGGGGATAGAGGAAAAAATTTAGTTTGACTCCAACTAATTTGCATTTTCTGAGAGGATTCTAAATGATTAAAGAAAGCATAGTTTCAAATGGTTTCCTAGGTGGTTTTATTTGCCATGTACTTGAACTTTTTTCTTTTCTTTTTTCTTTTTTATTTTTTTATTTTTATGTATCACTAATAAGTTAATGAGTTTAAATTTTAATGCTATTGCAGAGTGTTGGATCTGCATGTGAGTTTCCTCATGGCATCATTGACCTGTTGAGATAAGTGCCAGTTTTCTACCCATAATATTAAAAAAACTGCATGTTATAGTAATTTATTCACATAATTCTTTTAATTAACTTCCAACTGAAAAGATATTGCATTTATCTTCCAGGAGTTTGCAAATTAGCTTATAGCTTGGATTTGTTTCCATTTTGATCTGTCTCTTGGTGGCTTTGTATTACCTTTCATTCATAATCTTGGGTATGCCTATCTGAACTTTAGTTTTAGATTAAACTTTCATATATGTCTAACATTTTATATGAAGAAATAATATTTCGTTATTATTATTCAAAGGCATATCATTTTGTCTTTCCCTCTTTACTGTCATTTTTCTCTTTCTATGCCTCTATTGTCAATGAATAATTGATTCAAAATTTTGACCCAAATTTATTTGATTTGATAGAATTCTACACATCATTTTTCAATATGGCCTTGGTTTCTAATTTTTTCTCTCCCTTTTCTTTTCACATGTCCAATTCCGCTTTTTGACTTTATTGTTCAAGGATTGACGTCAGTTTTAGTGGATGTGCATTAATATGGGTTGGCTCCTAGATCTCTAAATAAGACACTGAATTGCAGGTCTTGAATGTTGTTCTGGAATTGCTTCGGTAGAAACCATGATAAAGTTCAGAGTTAATTCAGTTGAGCATAATATGCTGGATTTCTTCTTGGCTTTTTTAGAAGTTATTTGAAGAGAGCATTGGAATTTGTACAGGTATTTTCTGTCAGCTTTTGATTCTATCCTTTTCTACTTCTATGGCTTCATTTCTAAAAATATAGATGCCGTGTTCTCTTCTGGTCAATTATAAGCATAAAATTGGTCCACGGCTCTTACCTGCTTCCCTGTCTGAAAATGGCTGGGTGCTGACTAGGTGGCCAGACGCTTTGGACCAGGACCACGATTACTTTTCCCATAACAAAAAGGGAAAAAGGAAATTCTGAATAATAATTGTCTGCTTCTGGTGGTGGTTTTACTTAATTCAATTCGTGTAGATTAAGCATGCAAGGACTTTTTCCAGTTTCTGCCTTATTCTCTACGCAGGTACAAGCCATCTTAATGGTGGCTTTTATCTAGACCGTCTACTTAATGGTGGCTCTGGAAGGTACTATTATCTCACAATCTAAATTTTATTTGAAGTGGGTTTTGTGACTTAAATCAAGTGATTGATCCCAAGACAAAAGCAAGAGTTAATAATTAATTCGCTAGGAACCAAGATAGATCCCTCTGTTACAAAATATGATTTAAAAAAGAAAATACGCCTGTTTAAGCATTGGAATTCTTTTCAAATATTTTTAGAGGATAGCTTAATTAATCTACATGAAACCTTAGAATGCAAAATCAGTTCTACCAATTATAATCCCATGTTTTTGGTTCAATTTGGTGGCCTTAATTGTATTTTTTGTATTCCAATAATATGGTAAATTACTAATTCTTGATACTCTATGCAGTTTTATGAACAAATATATGGGACAATAGAATAACAGTAATAGTATTTTACATTATAGCATGCTTCTAAATTTATCTATTTTTTCCATTATGTGTTAATCTATTTTCTTCTATTTCTAGATTTCTAGATTAGTTATTATTGATTAAAGCTTACTTATCTATGGATTTTATAATTTTGGTTATAACAAACAAAACAAAGGACACGGAGTAGGAAATTAATCTATTTAAAATAAAGTGTTGTGCCTTAGAATGTACTAGGGATACATCTACAACAGAATTAAGGATGATGTGGCTTGTCTTGATTAGAGAAACTAATTAGGTCAGAGAGGACCTACAAATGAAAATTGGTTTCTCACACACATGGAGTATTTTTACATATTTGACAAATTTACATTATTTAATGAGTTGTAATTGAAAATAATAATATAACGTTCAATATAAAATTTGTTTTTGACTAAAAGAAACTTTTGAAGAGTGCTTTTTGTGATTATCCTAGTGTTTGCTAATTTTCTTTTCAAGAAAATGGTTGGAAGGTGATTTTTTTATATAATTTTATATATTATTTAAATGATTAATTTTTTTATTTATTTAAAATCTATAATATTATTTACATCCATTTATTTAATGATAAATAGAGAATTTTATTCCTCCATTCTCCTTTCCTCTCTTTTCCTTATTTTGAATAAATTGGCAAATTAAGAGGAAAAATAAAATAAAGGGCAAGTTTTTCCTTCCCTCCAATTTAAAGTCTAAGTTTTAATTTTTCTGTATTTAATTCAAATTTAGAAACAATAATTTGCTGATAACTATGCTATGGACTTTAATAGTTAAATCAGTAAGTGTTGTAAAGTGTAGTAGGAGTATATCAATCCTTGTCTTTTATTTTATTTGTATAATAAAATATTTAAGATTTTTTTAACTTATGTAATTAGGGCATAAATTAAGAGTGTA